TGCGCAGCCCTCCCCGGGCCCTTGCAGTAGCGATGTTCGGACACGCGATGGCAGCAGTGTAACATATCCATAGTAACATATCCAATGCAGGTAACATTTCCATAGTTATATTAGAGGAGTGCCAGACAGGAAAATTTCAACCTCAGGTACCAACAGTCACTTTCAAGAACAGTCAAGTTCAACCTCCGGTAACAACAGTCACTTTAGATGGCTAGGTGTGACAGTCAGTAGTAGTATTAGACCTGATTCACCATACCTGGTTTCCAAATAGATGTTTTACTAGCCTCCTTTCCTTTCCTACAGTTTATGTTTTTTTGTTTGTTTGTTTGTTTTTTCCCCAAAGAAGCAGAGGTGACAGGAGCAAATACTCACGTGATAGTCTACATAGGTCTACCCAAAGAGCTTGTAATTCATCCTTATTTACAGTCAAAAACTACAGCTGAACTGAACTGCCAGAGACCTTCTGGTCTACCAAAATTAACAGTAATCATTAAAACCAGTATAAAACAAAATAGTTTTCATTGAAAATCCAAGATGAGAAGTACTCAAAATGAGAAATTAGTTATTTTGTACTGTCACCTGTCTCCAACCTAGAAAAAAACAAAATCCACCACGCTGATTATATTAGGTTAATTGTCTATCAAAATCTATCAACTCTTTAATACTGAAAACTTATTTGGCATTCTAGCAGTAGAGGCACCATCATCCACTGAAGGACACACAGGTATTGATTTGTTGTGTAAAGTAACAATATTAGCAATGTCTGAAAACACATAAAGCCAGTCTACATTAACTTGATAAGGTATACATGAGGAAGCATTTTTAGAGAATTACAGCAGTATCAAACACTATGCATTGTACACTTTAAAATAATTTTATTCAGAAAAAAAAAACAGTTTTAAAGTAGTCTTGCTTGGTGGATGGGGATTATGTTTCATATAAATCCAATGAGAAAATCCATTTAATACAAGTGGGTAAGAAAAATCCACTTAATATACACTGTGATACTCCTCTACGGTAGTCAACAGTTAGAAGAAATGCAATATAATTTTTTTCTCAAAACATTATTATGTATTTTGAAAATCTATTCCATTAATCATAAAGCAAACAAATACAAAGAAAAGTGTCAAAACTTCAGAGCTTTCAAGAGCTCCTAAAACCATAAGACTGAAGAGAAAACCACCAAGTTCATCCTCTAGGACAAGTGATGTTTGAATAGGACAGGAAGGCTCGAGAAGAAATTTCTGGTACACTACCAACCATGTTGTGCATATACTATACTACGGGGAGCAATGAAAACAGAACACACAAAATCTAAGCCTCTCTGAATCATTTGTATGTTCTGAAGGTGCATGGTTCTGGGAAGAGAAGTTAGCCTGCAGATAGGAAAGGGTAAGCATCAGTAAAAAAAAAGTCTCACGGACAGGATCGTTTTGTATTTGTCATACTGCACAGTGATGAAAAACAGTGTCTAAAGATGAAGAAGTACCTCCCTCCCCCAGAGGGTCCCCCGAAACCTGAACATTTTCAGTAAACACTTAGACTTCTGCGTTTTACACCAGATATTCTTAGCTGGTATTTCTCTGTGGGAGAGGGAGGCTCTCGTGAAGATACTTCATGCTGCCATGCTCTGAGAAGTCAGAAACAACATGACTGTCCCCTCTCAGCAACCATTTTGTAGTCAAGAGTCCTTCAATTCCTACTGGTCCACGTGCATGGATACGGGAAGTGCTAATTCCAACTTCAGCACCTACAGGAAACAGAAGGTAGGGTGTTCTCAGAAGATGTTGGCTTTTGATCTACACAGCTTTGCATCATTTTGAAAGACAAAGAATAGTATTTTTTTGTCCTTCCTTTCTTGGCCCTTTCCAAGGGCCAAAAGTTATGCTTAGATATTCCAACTGAAAAGTGAGAGTAACCAAAGTATTATAAATTATGTAATTATGTAATGTTTATACTTCCGATGCTTCTAAAAGCAAGCCTGATAGTAGTAAGAAAGAGCAGATATATTTGACATGCATCTCAGACTTGGGCCCTGAGGGTTTATCCTTTAAAAGCTAACTGTTGAATTAGTCAAATTTGTGATTTTATGTCCTTTGTTATCATACTGAAGGAGAGATTTACTAAGATCCTCAGTAAAGTTTTTTCAGCAAATAGAGCCCTGAATGGTCCAGCTTTCACAGTAAGATCCTGCTACAGGCACTGTATGAATTTCTACCTCAGGGAAGGATGTTTCTCTTGCCTTTTGCAACTCCCAATAGCTCAGCAGTGCGCCTGTTTCTTTAAGCAATCAATGTTCAGTTGAGATCCTGCCTTTTCTTCCCCAGAACTTCAGGGCTGGCACATTAGACAACAGCTTAATCGACGCAGCAGGAACAAAGCATGATATTCTTTAGAGCATCAATACAAAGAGGGGCAAAATGAAAACAGTTCACAAATTTCAGATACTACACTGTGTTTGTTCTATTACTATGTGCATGCACCATACTTTTTTTCAAATTGAATGGAGCTTCAAAGGAGCCCTAAACACTTTTGTTCTCTATTGCTAAATTAATCTAGATACTCTGTATAGCAGTATCAGCTAGTTCCATCATGAAAGAGATATTCAACTAATACCAAGCTAATCTGCTTGGATGAAAGTCTCACATTTCAAGTTTTCCTACAGTATCTTTTCTGAAAGCCTTATTTTAGGTAGTGAGATCAAAAGTAACTAATCCTATCTTCCAAGAGGAGATCTACACAGAACAGCAAACCCTACTGTGACACCCCTCAAGCCTCTTCTCCCTTACCAAGTCCAAATCTATAACCATCAGAGAATCGGGTGCTGGCATTCCAGAAGACACAAGCACTGTCCACATGTTGGAGGAAGAACTCCGCTGTTTTTTCTGGGCGGGGCAGAGGGGAGAAAAACAAACAAAAAATACAACACAAAGAGAATGAGCAGGTGCTTCAATAAAAACAACATAATACAGTGAATGGATGTGACATTAGAAATGTAATACATAATGCTTATATATAAACAGCTTGGACTAAATATGTTGATATGTACTTTCTTCCAAGTATGCTTTTCAAGTAGACACAGCCTCATATGTTACAGGAAACTTACAAAAGTTTCAAGAAAGTTATAAAATGACTAATCCAAACTAGTCTAGACTCTGCAAATGGGGATTTTTATGAGACAAGGAAAAAGAAGTTCCAAACAGTATTTTGCAGTCCAACTAATACAGAGGCAGCACTCCATTATTTAGATCATGTAGTTGTCTCAGATGATGAAAAATCCTAACATTGATATTAGAGATCATATTTGAGAAATATAAGCAGAAGTACCACTGCTTATTAATCCAGTTTAAAACTAGACATGCAACACTTCAGCAAGCTCATGCAAGCCTTAATACTTTGAGGAGGCCTTTTATAAGCATGAAAACCAGCATTAAAGACCAGCTTAATTTCCAGTACACTGCTTTGCGCAAACCACTAGCGCACCAGGTCCTATGAAAGTAAGTTAAGGCACTGAATGCATGTTTTTTAGAGACACTGTTTTAAGATCTGCTTAAGAGCTGTTTTTAAGAATCTGATCTTAAGATCTGTTTCAAGGAGTTACAGGAACAAACTTGCACTGTCACTCTGATCAGTTACAGATAAACATGACCTGACTATGGCTGATCCTCAGGAATTCCAGGCTGGGACAGAGACTCATCCTTTGGCTGGGTGCAGCAACAACCAAGTTTTGACTTTGCACAGAGTTCAAACAGGACATGTGCTAAAGATGGGACGAGGTCACAGTTGCAGGCCGGAGCACAACTTCAGAACATCAAAGGGGCAGGAAACTGGGAATGATGGAGACAAATCTAGCTTCCCTAATACAGATGCAGAAATGGGAAATATAGGAATGGGAGAGGTAGGGGAAAAAAAGGGTTTATGATCCTTGTTTGCCAGACACAAACGATACTGGAAGGCAATGTAGTGGTAACAGCCTGATCAACAATCAGGAGGTACTCCTGGAAAAACCCTCTGTTGAACTCAGACTGCTCAATACAGTAACGTAAAATCAATTTGCTTTGCAAGAGCATGTGCTGATGTCATTGGCCAGTCAGTCAACACATGTCTCCTTGTAATGTAGTGAGCTGAACAGAACTGTCTTGTAGCTTTATCTCATAGGCCTCCAGTTAAACATGCCTGCAGCAGAAACAAGCAACACGGCTGCAATATTAAGTTGTAACACTAACACCAGAGCCTGCAGTCAAACTAGAGCAGTAATGAAGCAGATCGGTCACGCACCGTTCTCTGTGACGATAACATCCGTGTGAGAACTTCCGTACTTGTGGATATGTTCAACAGCCTCTTGGACGCTGTCCACCACCTCAATGCAGCACTCAAGGTCGCCATATTCAGTGCGGAGAGATTTCACTTCTGAGGGGCTGAACGTTAAATAGGAGGCAAACTTTGGGCCAGCATGAATCTTCACCTGCAATACCAGAAATATTTTGTACTGCTCATTGTAACAACACCTTCCAGGTGAACACATGGCTTGTAAATTAAGGGTTGACTATAGGCAGTGTAAGAAAACTTAACCTAAGTTTTGGGAAACCTAGTGGATCAGTGAACTAGGAACATGATACTAAGATAAAAGTGCTAAACTGGCTACCTGTCATAACATGCTCAGGCTTACTTTACTCAGAGCTCACTTTAAACTGTTTAAAGCAATGGCATCACTTTGGATAAGTCATAGGACAATACAATGCTAGTACTGGGAAAACAGCTATAATTTTGCATCCAACCCTTATACCTACATTATAATGAGACAGCAAGTACAACGCAAAGAATAATCACAGAAATGCTTCCAAGTTTGCAAGCCTCACCCAGAGGAAACTTAGAAGCTTGACCTGCTTTGACCCTTCTTTTCTGTAAACTGACATCAGCTGTCTTTGCAGCATGGGCTTCAGACCAAAAATCAGTCCAAAACTAGAAGATTCATACAGATATATTACACTTGTTATAAATATTTAATGCATTATTGAGCTCTGCATTAAATAATAGTAGGTAAGACACCCATACAATGAGGGAAGCTATAATACTTTAGAAATGATGGAGCAGATAAATCCCCATGCAAGTGTGGATAAAGCAGATTCAAAAAGGAGAGAGAGGAAAAAAAGAGTGGGGGGGGGATTAACTGAGGTAGGAAACTAAAGAAATAGATTCAAGAAAAACAGGCTTTTGATGTGGGAGATTACCAGAAAAAAAGTCAAAATTAAGAAGGATGGATAAAGGTTGTGTATATGCTCTTAGAAGATAATTTTTGTTGTATGAAAAGAATATATAAAAGAATATCTATATCCTAACAATAGTACATAGATATCCTGAAGAAGCCACTTTCATATCATTTATGTGGGGAACCTTGAGGTTGTGTGAATAACTTCTCCAGCAGTTCATTTACACGTATCAAGAGACACATGGATAACAAGTGTCATGCCCTAACAAAACTGCAAAGGGCTATGGCAGCCAGATCAAGTGCTTCTAAAGCTAAAAGGAATGGAAAAACCCATGCAAAGACACACACACCACATACACAAAAACAAAATGAAAAGAAACAACAACAAAAAAAACACAGAAACAATGCTTGACTAACCTGTTCTATTCTCAGCATGTCTATGATTTGATCAAACAATGGGGTTCTCAGCAAGTCTCGATGAATTAAGAGAGTTTCCAGAGCATTACAGGCAGCAGGGTATTCACACTTTGAGTCTCTGACTGAGATTTAAGAGCACATAATTGGTTATAACATTTATAACAAAGATTTTGAACAATGTATTAATTAGCAATTCTGATACTCCAAATAAGTCCATGAGATTCAAGTCATCCTCTCCCAGCTTACTTATTCTCGTGACCTTCTCAACGCTGGCATCCATGTCCACATACACATGGCAGATTCCTTCACTGTGTCCCATCACTGGGATTCCCTTAGCGGCTTTCTGGATATCCTTCACTAGCTGGGATGAGCCACGTGGAATGATTAGATCTATCAGTTTATCCAAGCGGCACAGATCTTCTACCTCCTCTCTTGTGTTCACCTGCAAATGGTATATATGGTGTGAACTCTGAATTCTACCTGTACTTTCTATGCATATTATAGCAAAAACATGGTCAGTTTAATTCTAGGCACTCACTAGTTGCACCGCATCTTTGACCCCGTGAATGGAGAGTGCTTCTTGTGCCAGATGATGAAGGATTTGATTGCTATATGCAGCTTCTTTCCCTCCTTTAAGCAGTAATCCATTTCCACTGGCTATAGCCAAAGCAGACACCTGTTGGAAAGGAATTAAAGAGGGAGGGAAGGAGACAAAAAGAAAAAAAGTTATCTGTGTCTTCTGTAGAAGAAAAATAGAGCAAGCCCAGGATTTTAAAACCCTCTGATTTATTAAAAGTCAATCTACTGTTTTCATTTTATGGCACCAAGAATTTTTTCCAGGTAACAATATGTGACTCCAAAAATTAACCGTTAGCATTTCAGATACAAATTTGAGTTTTCAGAGTATTATTGGCAGGGGGAAGAATGCAATGAACAAGTCCTAGGACACCATGGACAGAGGCTCTGACATGAGCTGCATAGCAGGAGAAGGAATAAGGCCAAGAGGAGGAAGAAATTGGCTGAGAGGCAAGAGTCTGGGGTGGAAGCTCAGAAGGGCACACTGGAACATACAGGTCATCTGTGAAGAACACAGCTGGCACCCAGGAACTATTGGCAGACAAAGGAGACCAGCTCCTTTCCTTCTACATGAACTCCCCCTAAAACATACTCCCCTTCACTCTGAAATGGAAAACAACATCTGAAAAATGGACTGGAAGATTTGTTTCACTTCCTTTTTAAGTGTTTCTATCATCACTTGCTCCTCAAGCATCTGATTATATAGGAGACATCTGCTCAAAAACCTCCATTAATAATCAGAAATAGTGCTAATAATGACCTTTTTTTTTTTCTTTTTAAAAATCTACTAGAGTTGCCGAATTAGATTTTCAGAAGTTAAAAAACTTACAAGATCAAGGTGTCTATTCAACCTCAGTTCAGGGTCCATAGTTTCATGCATTATTATAATTATCAATCACAGCAATACCTGTCTTACACAGCTCTGCAGATGAAAGTATTTGCCTGGAAGATGTCCGACTTGTTCTTGGAACAAGATGAATGATGCTCACTTCTAGTAAATCATTCGAGATTTCACCAGAACATCAGTACTTTAGAACTTAAAACACCATTTTTGCCCCATACCCATCTCACTATGGTTAAGACTGCCATTTCTAACTTATTGTACATATGTTATATACATATACTGCAATTGGAACTGGACAGACCACCATAAAGCCTGAAACTTCTGAGCTTTATGCGCTAAGCTTAATTTTTATCACACACTTTTAACAGTTAATAATTTCTGTATTAAACAGTTCCAGTTTAATCCTCACCCAACAGTACAGCCATATCCAGCATGGACACATAAGACAAGTGTTCACTAGTAGAAATTTCATATTTTGCAAGTTGGCAGTGAAGATACATTGTTAGATGCACTAAGATCTGCACCCTTTGAGTGCAAGGTAACTCCTTCTACGTGCTGCACTATCAAAAAAGCTTTCCTGAGTAACAGTGAAAACTACAAAAGCAAATCTTGAAAACACACATGTAGAAAATAAGAGTACTAACAAAACTGATAAACATCCTAGCAAGAGTCCTTTGAGAGACAAGACTTCTTGCAGACTTCTAATCACACACGATCAGAAATGCATCTACTTTTGTTACCAAAGTATTTCCCCAAGTGTAGCATTCTGTCCTCCTTCCATACCTGTGGAAGACAGTCAGGACGAGATTCAAAGATCACAAGGAGTACACCAATAGGCACAGTCACCTGCTCCAACTCTAGGTCTTTTGCTATCCGTGTTCTCCGAATTACCCGGCCTACACTGTCCTGTGAGGACGCTGCAATTTGACGCAGCCCAATAGCCAAACTGTTCAACTTTGATGTAGACAGAGTCAGTCGTTTCAACAAAGGAAGTGCCAATCTTCCTAGAAGAAAGAAAAATCATGATTAAAATAGCTTTGCCTGTCTCGACTCAAGCAAAACTGACCTAAAGTGGCAAGCCTATGGAAAAATCAGATATGTTCCACCATTTAGTAAGAAATCTACCCAGATGAAAAACACAAAGCACTAAATCTGGCAGCCACAACAAAACTGCTCAGATCAGCCTATGATTTCACATACTACTATGTTCTCACATAATGTCATTTAAATAAGTCACGTCAACATCTACAAAAATAAAGTTTGTCCTACTTCCAGTACCTGAATCTTTTATAGATTTTATCTTTGCAATACTTCCATAAGGTTTGGACAGTCATTGAATCTTTCTGTTTTAAAGATAGAAGATTCGAAGCACAGGCATACATATAAGCATTTTTGTTCAGATTGGGCAAGAACTGCCTAAGTTTTCTAGTCTAAACATGTTCAGTCAATAAGCATGTTCAGTCAATAAATTTACCAGCAGCATCGCTCCTGGCACTTTGATCAGTAAGTGTGGCTTACACAAATTATTACAATTCACACTGTGTGATTTTTTTACATCTCCCCAACAATTAGCTGAGAAGCTGGGATTAGAATAACACAAAAGAATGGGTTTACTCCAAGCCACCTACACAGAACCTCCCCCAATAGAAAAGGAATATCTCTTTTTGGAGAGCATCAGTTTAAGTATACCTTACCCTCAGGAACCAAACATTATCTTCACAAATCCAGCAAATGGTCACTTTGTGCAAGACAATAACAAAAGCATGTTTGTTACATTCCATTTCCACAATCAGTCTCCCTTGGCACTATTTTTTTTTTTTTTTTTTTTACAAGACCAAAGGATCTTCTCCGACATAGACATTAGTTTTCTGTAGCAACACAAGCTTCAGCTGTTTACAGGACCAATCCTCAAGGTCTTGGATTCATTAATCTATGATAATCATATTACTCAATATCAATGACAGAAGCTTCCAACGATGCTTATTTCCTTAGAGATAAGTTCATGATAAAAGGGAAGATCTGTAATATTACCTTTATTTTCAGCCTCTTCCATGTCTTTTTTGTTTGCCAAGAGAATTTCCTCTCTCTGATCGGTTAGTAAATCAGCAAGACGATAGATAATCTCTGCTCTCTGAAAGAGAAAATTTCTGAACTGTCATTTTATTCAAAACCTACGCTACTTCTGGTCCCTTATAGTTAATTTCCACTGGCCAAATCCTATTATCATCTGGACTCTAGAAATACTTGCGAACAGATGATTTCTCTAGCCTGCATCACACTGAAAAATAAGGCTGAACAGTATAATTCAGTTGGCACTTAGCTTTTTTTTTTTTTTTTTTTTTTTTAATTTTCTCACTTTCCACACCCAATCTTCTTACCTAAACTTCCAAAGTTTTTCCTTTAAAACCACCTTACGATCTTCACAACAGACGCCTGCTTTTACCTACCCAGCTGCAAAACAGTAATTGTCTTC